ACAACTGCTGCATGCTCGGGTCGAAGTATTGTTTGCAATCCACATTTTATTGCAACGAAATTATTTTCTTCTTCTCTTTCGTCATCGTATACCGGCGAATCGTTGTTGTCTCTTTTTCTTTTCATTCTCGAAGAACTGATACAAATAAACGAAAATAAAAAAATACACACAAATTTAGAAAAAAATGCACCAAATATAGCATAGATCACAAACACAATAAGATAAAAATACTTCTCTCACAAATCAAATGAAACAGTAATGAAGAACGCATCATAAATGTCACGTCTTACCTCAACAAAGTGACTCTGTATTCTAAATCGAATGATGAAATTTATTTCCAATGTGACATCAAATATTTTCCCGATCGAATTTTTGTTGGAATATTCACAGTAAATTTTATCAAAACACTCTGTTATTTCGAAATTAAAACAAAAATGAACACAAAACCAACTGTGAATATTTCCATTCTTCAGTGAACAGCGTTCCGAACACACAAAATCGTTGAAATTGAAATGACAATAAAATCAATTGGTCGCCCAAACCACGCTACAAACACTCACATCTAATTCTCAAGAAATCCTCTTAAAAACAAAACAAAGTTTTATTGTAAACAAAATCGGTTCGTGCGATTGTAGTTTCAAAGTGATGGAAGTTGTTTATACTAACAATACTGAAACATACCATTTTTTTTAATTATAGATATGGGAAACACTCTATTATACACATATGAGTTCGGAGACACTTATATGCAATCCGCGTCTTTATTTTTTTTCATCAATTCATTCCTTTCGAAATCAGGGACATTTTCTGCTTTCCTCATTAAACCTGTATGCTGATTGGAATTATAACGAATAAAAAATTTGAAAATCTTTTATTCAAATACAACATCTCCAAATAAGTTCAAGAAATACAATGTTTTGAAGCTCCACAATTTAATGTTGTCACTCTTCATAAAAATTTAGATTCTGGAAAAATAATCAAACTGGAATAAAATACAGGCACATCTTTAGTTTAGGGACACATTAATTGGAGCGATTTTTTTTCTTTTTTGTATGTTATGAGTAGAATCTAGGCATGAATTATCTCTGGTGCGATTTTAGATTTTTTATTTTATGAAAAAAAAAATTTGGTTCAGTTATTCCACATGTAAAAAAGTGTATTTGCCTTCCACATGAGTATACAATGGATATTGCGTCTTAAAATTAAATAGTATCATATCTGTGTGGCGCACACATCTCATGTTGTTTATTGCGCATTAGAAATTTATTTCCGTTACGATTTTCCAACACAATCGATAAACAAAATATGCGATGGAGTTGCTGTCAATACAATCTTTAGTTCAGACTCATTTACATAATGAATAAAATCAATTTAGAGAAAATAATTTTGTGGAGCTGGTATAGTTAATAAGTTCCGCGAATTCGGAGCTATACCAAACGAAGGGGATATCAAATGTTCAAAATGTGGTCATGAGATGAATTTGTGGTTTCATAAAAACGAAGACGAGTATTTCATCTGCAAAAGCCGCTGTTTATAATAAATTATGCACTGAAGTTTTAATCCATTCCTGTTTAGATAACTCGACACCAATTGCTAGGTGGACATTTGATTGTTGAAGCTGTGGTCATTAAATTGAATTATTAGTACAATGCGCGCGCGCGCCTGTTTCATACATGTAACTCTATTCTCAATTACACATATTTGCGCACCTTTGATTTAATGTTTCACTGACTGCATTAAATGTTTAAGGTGGTCCTGTAAAGGTCATTGAAATTGAAGAAAATGATTTTGAAGACACTGATCTCTTGAATTTAAATTCGACTGTTCTTTCAATTTGATTTTTTTTCGTTATTTTTGAATACATTTTTGCAAATGTTGAGTAATTTCGTTCATTTCTAATAAAATTTGAAATAATTACCGCTAAAAATATTTTGTTTTTCGATTGTGTTGGCAAATCGTAACTGAATCAAATTTCTTATGCGCAATAAACAACATGAGATGCGTGCGCCCATTGCTTAAAAAAAACGCACGCTCAACGTAACTCAATGTGCTGAGTTTTCGAATGCACAGTGCGCTTGTCCACTCACCGAACCAGTACGAGAGCAACTCACTACTTGCTCATGTCACATTATGAGTGAGCTAAATCTCGCTCACACCACTTAAAAAAAAACATAAAAAACATTATACGAAATGAAGGATATAAGGGAATTTTTTTTCGTCTTTTCAATTCTCTTTTTGCTGTTACTAGGCATGTTTAGATGAAACTCTCGGAGAGTCGGTATATTGAAAAAAAATATTGACTTTTTTTTCCGTCTTTCGACCGTCTTTCTGGTGGTACATGGCAAGCTCATATGAAACTCTCGGAGATTTGGTACAATGCAAAAAAATATTTCAATTTTTTTTTCCGATATTTTTGTGCATTTTCCGAGTTTCTGAGAGTTTCATATAAACATGCCTAGTAACAGCAAAATAGAGTCAAGAATACGAAAAAAAATTTCGACTTGAGCGAGTAGTTACTCACTCAGTTTTCTAGTTGAGTGTTGTTTGCAACTCACATTAGCGACTCAGTGACGTGTAGCGCATTGAGTTATATGCTGCTCCCCGAGAGTGCTCAGTGCGATGCGATAGCACTGCGTGCGCCCCACAGATATGATGCTATTTGATATAAGACGCAATATCCATTGTATACTCATCGGTGGAAAGCAAATATTCTTTTTACATTCAATTTCACTGAACCAATTTTTTTTTATAAAATAAAAAATCTAAACATCCAAAAATGTGTCCTCAAACTAAAGTTATGCCTATTATACATCACAATTATTTGTTCGCTTTAAACAAAGAAGTGTGTCCTGTTTGGTATGAAGTCTGGACTGTTTTCGTGAGTATCATTAAGACCTGATTATAGGGTTTAGTTTAGATAACAATAAAAAAGGCAAGCACGTAGAATATGGCCGACATTTTAAAACATCGCACCCTAAAGTGTTTGCTTCCCATTGCTAACTGTATTTACAGATAAGATTGTTTCGTTCCAGAACCAAGTCAGAAACTGAGTCTGGCAATAAATTTGAACGTCCAGCTGTAATTATAATTCTTCACAAAAATATAAATACATCTACAACAAATACAAATACATCTTAAATACATCTATCTGTTTATCACTTCTAGTCTTAAAATAACAATAAATTGATTGATAATTCAAAATCAGAATATGGTCGTGAATATAGTTGTTTTTTTGGTCAAATATTTAAAATAATATTTTATTAACTGCAAAAGAACGAACACAAATATTTTTCGTAAAACTTTTGTACATTATTCAAGCATCGACACATTTTTGAAAAGAAAGTTGGACGTTTACAATGAATAACAATACGTATATTTCTATGATCACTGTTCTATAGATGCTATAACTAAAGCTGTATTAATGAAAGCTGCATACACTTTATGTTTAATGAATAAATTAAATAATTTTGAAATCATCATATTTTTCGGTTCATAAGTTTTCATTCCTGTTTTATTTTGCATTTGTGATAAAAGAAAGAAACAAAATATATTGAAAGTTTTTGATTATTATCTCGAAGACAATAGGTAAATTACAAGTGTAAATGAGAGTATTTCACTATTTTTGTATGTCTTTTCATTTTGCTTCGACACCAAAAAGTATTTCAACAAATAAATAAAATATATTGAAAATTTAATTTCACACATAGAGTTAACATCTTAATCTAAACATAGAAAAATATACCGAAAATTGCACGCAAATCACAAATTCACGGGCTCTTTACATATTCAAAAACCACATATATTAATTTCATTGGTTATTTCCTTAATTGTATTTTTACTTGATTTGCATCCGGCTAATTTTGAATTAACCTTAATTTTGGTCCTTCATGTTTTTTTTTTTTGTTTTTTCATGTTCATCCTTTTTTTTAAATTTCTTATGTATAAAAAAAAATCATTTAATTTATCGTGCCGAATTTCAAAAGAAGATAATTTGGACCATTCATAGAAAGATTGAATTTCAATTTTAAAATCAAGTTTTATTTCATATTATGCAGAGCTGGGCATAAACATCAACGATCGACTACTATAGGTCGTTCGTATAATTTTATTTTATGGTCGGTCGGTCGTCCGTTGTGTTCGTTCGTATATTACTACGAAATAAAAAAAAAATTATTAAATTCATCTATATTTATTTCATCATTTAAAATGTGAGGTTATGTCAGGTATAATCCATACCAACTATACAGAATTTAATAAAATTTCGTAATAAGAAAATGTATTATTTTGAACACTAAATTGAGAAAGAAAACTTATGTGATATTTATTTATTTAATTATTAGTACATTATCAAATTACATATTATTTTAATCTGTACAATTGAAAATTAATTTACTTTTTTTATTAATTAAAATTACTTGACTTTACAATTTTCTCTCCGAATACTCGGAAGTCTGGTCGTGTTCGAACGCACATACGAACGAACACAACGAACATTTCAATTTCTAAGAACGACCGACCTACCAACTAATAATGATTTCAACGAACGACGGACCGATCACAAAAACATATTTTTTTTAATTTTACGAACGAACGAACGACTGACTGTTCGTGCCTAACTCTGATATTATGATTTAGTAAGATGAAAATAATATTGATCTTGTCCAATAGTATAGGTTTAAATTCAAATTGGAAACTTCATTTGTACACTTTATCACATGTTTCTTTCAAATTAACCAATACGCTGTCAATTATTAACAGCGATGCGAACCAGTTTGATGTTTGGTTTCGATTTGTATCGCTGATTATTAGGGTATGCGCTCATAATTTCTTCATTTGATTTAATTGGTTTAATATGCGAATAGTGAAACAAGGAAAAAAGAATGTAAAAATCACTATATTCATATGAATCAAGTATAATTTGCACTTACTTCAATCATATGGTTTTCGTTTTAATTTTCTATTTACACATATATTTATATACTTATACATATATTATTTAATTGATATTTTTTATATATATTTTGAATAATTGTTGTTTTCTTTTCTATCTTTTCTTTCCTCACCGTTTGTCCCTCATGTGTTTGCCAAACGATCAATGTGCAAATGCCAATATAAAACTGTACGTGTATCCACAAAATTATTAACACCAACGACACAAAAATTATTTACGATTCAAAATTTATTTTTTTATCTTTAAAACACATCGAACACAAATACACGAAACAACAATAAACAAAAATGAAACAAATGACCCAAACTGTTTCATAATATAACTTGATGTGGTTAAATATTTTAAACGTTGTCAAAAATTCATATCTATATTTATCACACCGTCCACTAAATGTTGTTGAATTTTGATGTTCTTTACAAAAAATGAATATTATATTTTTTAATCGAACTACTCTTCAATATGAAAACTGGCCAAAAAACATTCTAAATGAAATACGTTTTAAAAAATTACATGCGTGAATTTGTTTTCAAAAATATTGAAACGTAAAAATGGACATTAATACAAAAAAAACGTGAAGCAATCACGACGACGAGTTTGCCAATATTCTCAATGCCTTTTGGCTAACTGCGATCACGTTTCTCTGTGTGGGATACGGTGATATAGGTAATTTCATTTGAAATTCAAGCATGAATTTTACAAGTTAACTTAATTATTGATGAATTTGACGATTTAGTGCCCAACACTTACTGCGGACGTGGCATAACGTTGACTTGTGGCATGGTGGTAAGTATGGAAATGTTATTGTTGTGTGTGATGATCTCTCGCTCCTAGTGTGTGTCCTCTGCAATTCCACATCTCACAAGCATATTACTTATTTATTATTCATTCGTAAAGAGAACACAATCGTATATTCGTATAGTATCAGAAAGTATATTGAACACAATCTGAGAACTACACCATTCTCAAAATTCTGTTGAGCACCATCACCAAATTTAAAATAACTATAAAACAAATTTTCATTAACGCAATTTGAAAACCGACCACAAAAGAACGTTTAGCGTATTATGTCGTAAAAGCTCACAGAAAAAACACGTAACGTGTCAGCAATCGCTGAAGAGTTATCTTATTGCTCGCAATAAAGATGCTTGCGATTTGCCAAAAAGCGATTCAGAAAAACTGGAAATGTACTCATGAACAACGATGAAAATATTTTCAAATGAAACGCTCGAAAATGTAGCAGCACTCCAAACCATCATCGAGTGCGGCGGTATTGGAAAAAAAATCTAAATGAAACGAACTCAATGAAAAGTGCAAGGAAATTTTTTGTTGAATGATTTTTGTTGCAGTTTCGTTAGAATTAAATAGAAATGAAGAGAAACTGTTGATAAATGATTGAATCAAAATATATACGTAAATTTAGCTGATCAATTGAATAAATTGACTGAACTAAAGAAAAAAAAATCACACACACATCCATGCATATGAATATGCCGTATAAATACTATTTTTACATAATTTGTTGTACAGTTAGATTTATTTATAAGGCATTCATGTGTACAAATGTGCACGTATAGAATCAAAAGTCTGTTTGACTAAAAAAAAGCAAACATAGCAAAACAAAATACATTCGTTTACTTCCATTTCATTTCTTATCGTTTTCGCGTCCCGGGTCGATTGATGATCATTTAAATAGATTTCACGACGAGGAACATGCGAACCTGCTTAACTCGATGTGGTATGATTTGCCTTCATTTACACAAAAAATATCTAATTCATTGATATCAAATTTTCCATACGTTTCATTTGTCTTTGGCCATAAAGGCTGATTGCTATTACATTTTTGAGCGTTGGCTTCGGCGACATAGTGCCCAATACGTATTGCGGCCGTGGAATCGCTGTCAGTACTGGAATAATGGTAAGTTCAAACCACACCAATTTTAAAAATGGCTTAGAGTAGTAAGTGGAGACAAATAAAATGATAGAATCAAAATAAACTATAGAAATTCACTAAAATATTTGCGAAATATTTGACGAAAATAAATTCAGACCGAAAAGTTAAACATATAATAAAAAAAGGAAATATAGAAAAAACACACTTAAAAAACAAACATACAGAAGGAAGCAGTCAAAAGGGTAATTTATCTCGAAAATGTTTTTGTTTTCAAGTATTCTTCAAACTTTCTTTTTTCAAGAACTCCAAAATAATACCTCCAAACAGGGAAATAATGGATAGTAGAGTGTATCGATTTTTTAAAATAGTGCACTCATGAATAAGCTATGCCAAATGGTCCCAGATCTTGCCTAGGTGTTTTTTTGCATGGTGTGTAAAAGTTCCCAAAAGTTCCAAAAATGGTCCATTTTTTGATCTTTTGTGTTTGAAGAAAACCTTGATTCTAGTCCCAATATCGATTATTTTTATGTTTAAATCATCAGAACAGAACTCAAACAACACATTGCAAAAGAAAATTTCTTCCAAACTCAAAAATTGGTACCTTCAACATGGATCATGATTTCATTGAAAATTCTCAAAAATTCCGATTTTCAA